ATTCCTGTCTTTGGGTAATTCGTTGTCATTTACTGACAATTTTAGATTAGCTGCAGTTTGGATCAAATTAGGTCTTCTCCCTTAAACAGCAAACTTAGGTTTAAGTGCGTGTTACTGTTTACTAGGAGGAAAAGATAAGCTGAATCTCTGGATTACTGTCTGAAAGTTTTTCATCACAGGATTCATAATTAGGGTTATTACTGAATGATGAACAGATATACGCTCTCAGAGTCACCTGAAACTTAGATGTAAGCGGTTTTTAATTAAACTTGTACCCATATCACTGGCAGGTGATTTTTATATGTAATTGTTTTTTTTTGGATGTGAAACGTGGTCTCTCACTCAGAGGGAGGAACATAGATTGCAGGTTCAACGCGTGTTGTGGCTAGCGGAGTTGCTAACTCTTATTAAGGCTGTCCAGCGTTCTTTTAGAATGCAGTATGGACATCAACCTCCTACACGGAAAAGCATTTGGTTCTGGGACAACAAACTGAGGACTACAGGTAGTCTGTTGCGTGTAAAATCTCCTGGAAAGACACGGACCTCTGAAGAAAATGTCAGTAGCATTAGAGAGGAATTCCAGCGAAGTCCACGCAAATCAATTCGTGCTGCTAGTTACAAATTTCACATTCAACAGTGCACGATGTGCTACACAAAAGGCTCCGCCTAAGACCGTACAAGATTCAAATGATTCATGCACTAAAACCGACTGACCAAGTAGCACGCACAAACTTTGCTGTGGACATGCTAGAAAGAATTGACGCGTCACCCGATTTCCTCCGCCAAGTGTACTTCTTGGACGAGGCGACGATCCATGTCAATGGAGTTGTAGGATTTGGGGCAGTCAAAATCCACAGGTCACATTTCAGATGGAGAGAGGCAGCCCCTAAGTGAACGTGAGGGCCGGCTTAATGCACGACAAGTTGATTGGACCGTTAAATTTTTTATTTTGGATAAATTTCATAAGCAGCTGGATATAATATGGTCTGATTGGTAATATTTTATTGGGGAGGTAGATGATGAACTGAACCTTATACTTGCATAATGCTTCCCTCCTAACTGAATCTGAGGCTTTCTTGAAGGCTATTAATAGCTGATATGTCTTCCATTGTACTCCTGATTTTGTTCCAGTACCTGAAAAATGCAGAATGTCTGCTCAGTGTTGACAGATCACATAAGAATCTTCAGTGATGATCCCAAATAATTCCATGGATGTTTTGAATTAACCTTGACAGAGAATGTTGTATTTAGAACAAAATAGTTATCCCCACATCACGAGGTCTTCTGTTTAATCCACAGCTAGAAGACGTTCTGTGATGTAGTTACTAGGAACCCGCATAATATGGACTTTTCCCTGATTTATTTTTGAGCATATTTGAAACTGAAGGCTAAAGAAATTTACCTTTTAGCTTCACTTTACCTATTCATCTGTCCATTTATAAGAACCTGAAAAGAAAGAGCTAATTGGATTTTCAAGATGGTTTATATTAGGGAATTTTTCTATTTGAAGAGACATTTCAGTTTTTTTCAGTGTCATATTGTCAATATTTCGTACCTTACATTAACTCCTACATGTGCTTTTGCTTGTGAAAGT